GAGTCAACATTAATCGTAGTCGTAGTTGATCGATTCTCCACACTTCTATCATATGTAGTGATAGGTACAATCCTAATTGCTTCAGCATCGAACAATTCTTCTTCATCAAGCCAAGAAGCATCAAGGGAGAGGATATGATCTTCTTTTTTAGCAATCCATTCATCATCCGAATCAATTTCATCAATTAGTATTGGATCGATGTTTTGTCTTCTTCTGATACTCCTCTCTCTTAGTTTAGTGTTGTACTTCACATAGACCAAAGCATTCAAATGTTTGTGCTCAAGCATATTCCTCTTTTTTGTAAAGATATATTACCGACTCAAAGGTGCTCCAATTCCTCTCACATCTCGAAGCACTACAAGTTAGACTAAGTATTCGAATCGCAAATTTTGTTAACTCTGGTGTTTTGCTCCCAAAACGAATCCACCTATCAGCTACATAATTTGAAAAATGCACAAATAATTTCAATCTCGTATTTTAATTTTGTAGAATGTAATTGGAAAATTATTTTCATATTAGTTTCTTACCGGGAGAGCGTATCACTCTGGAATCAATTGCAACACGACTTTCGAATTCCCCTTTTGCTTGATCATAATAGTCCAATTGGATATCAGCCTTGAGACGCTCATCATAACTCAACATTCTATCCATGCACTGATACAATCCTTGCCTCACCTCCTCAACATTGGAGAATGAATCTCGATAGCGCAACTGAGGGTTTAGATAATAACCAGCAGCATGTAAAGGTCTATGAAGTTGTGGTGTCCACCTTGCATCTATCTTATTCCAAATTGGTCCGTACTTCCTACCATTTCCTCCACAATTGAAAGCAATCTTTTCTTTAGCCAAATCCATCAACTCATAAATGTAACCCATAGCAGGCCTTTCCTCTGAATCAACTTCTCGCAAAACACTAACCAAAGGTATTGTGCTTTTGATACAAAAAGCAACATTCGGCCAAAATTTTGGATCAAACAACACAGTTGCACGAGCCTTTACCCCTTCAACCTTTCTTGCCTAACTACTAGACGCTCACTTTTCTGAAGAAAACATAGCTTGGAGTGGTTGCTTTTGTTTGTAAAGACTTTGGAGAGTAAGATAAGCAGTGGCAAACCGTGTTACTGTTGGACGAAGTAGTTCACTGTTCTTTGTAAATGATCTCATCATTGAAAGAACCCAACAATGTCCATATATAAACTTGACCACTTGCCTAGATAACGAGAGTGTTTGGTCACAGACTTTCAATTTTTCAATGTCCTCCAACATTAAATCAATACAATGCGCAGCACATGGAGTCCAATACGACTTCTTCCTCTTCTCCATAAGTCTCGACCCATCGTTGACATAGTTTGAAGCATTATCAGTAATAACTTGAACATTATCTTCCCCAATTTCATTTACGACACTATCAAGATAGTTAAACATCAACTCCCCATTTTTTATAGTATCATTCACAAGAAAATTAATAAGAACTCTACTTTTCCCATCTGTCCAGCCATCAGACATAATTGAGCATTCATATTGTTTCCATGCTTTCTTATGTTCCTCCATCATGACATTTATATCCTCTACTTCTGCTTTAAGAATCCAAGTCCTCAATTCATGCATAGAAGGGGGTTTGAAACCAGGTCCATAATTTGCAATTCCATCAACTGCAGCTACCCAATACGGATCATTCACTAAATTAAATGGAAGAGCTTTACTATATATGAAACGCCCAATCTTTCGACACATCTTTTCTTTCTTCTTGTTTCCATTTGGAGTTTAGTGTAGATTGTCGTGCTTGAGAACTAGCAAATTCATCCATTGGACCCCTCGGTTTTGGTGCTTGTGTCATACCCAACAGTATCGCCTTCAATAGATTGAGAAGCACCACTCTCGCCCGAAGCTCCAGCACCCATCCCAATTTCATATAGCATCTCATTACGGGCACTTTTTTGCTCAAAGAAATTTTTTAATGCGTGTTGGCATTCCAACTTTACATCTTCAGGAACTTTTGAACACGGTTTAATGCCTTTATGTGTGCCGGCTAGATGATTTTTAAATCGACTTACAGTACCACTATAAGTTTGATCACAAAATTTACATCTAAAATACTTTTCCCCATCAACTTCTTTTACATACTTCCAGACAATCTTTTCTTTGGTCTTTGGGTTCAGTTATTTTTTTTTCCCCACAAACTTATCAACTGTAGCACTATATAAAAATAAACAAAAAGAAATTAAAAAAAAAGATACTGGTTAGGTGGGATGCCAAAAAGAAAAAAAGAATATTAATATTAATAATAAGAAATTATAGTCTATCAAAAAAAAAATAATAATAATAATTTTAAATAAAAGAAGGAGAAACATTAAAATAATAATATTAAGCATGATATGGTAATCTACTACACTGTACATATATAATATATTATGTAATAACATGTTAGTCCACTACATATATAATATATTATTTAATAACACTACACTGTACATATATAACATATTATATAATAACATGTTAGTCCACTACATATATAATATATTATTTAATAACATGGTAGTCCACTACACTGTACGCTTGAAACAAAGATATAATATATTATATAATAACATGTTAGTCCACTGCTGTACGCATGAAACAAAGATATATATATATATATATATTATATTTATATAATATATATCCATCACAGTCGGATAGAGATAGATAGACCACTATACCACACTGTAGCTATATTATATAACATATATACTGCACGAAACAAAGATACATATATTATATAATATATATACATCACAGTGACAGAACGAGAGAGACGATGTAGAAAGCAGATTGAGAGAGACGATGTAGAGAATAGAACGAGAGAGAGAGACACAGAGACAGAGTCGACTCAACTCGACAGAAAGAGAGAGAGAGAGATTGCGTACCTTGAAAACCCTAGTTCGTTGAAGAAGATTGGGCGACTGATTTGAAGTTGTTGGACTCTGATTTGAAGATCGACTTACATGGTATTTATAACTTATTCTTGAGCAATTTCTGTTTGAATCGAAGTCAATTTATAGCAATTTTCCATCAACTACTCTATCATCCCTTTTTTGAATTTTGAAATCGAACTCTTCAAAGGCTTCTGCCTTGCTATCGAAAGCGTGAAAAGCGCATGAAGCGCGACAAATGCTTACGCCTCTGATCTTGACGCGCACGCATAGCTGGGGTCTCGCCCCAAACAGAACGCATCTGTGTGTTTTTTGTACGCCTCGCCTCAAGCCGCGCCTTAAGTCGCGCCTCGAATACGCCTTTGAAAACCTTGCTAACACCCACCATATAATATCCCGGGACACTCTATCATATGTTTTTTCAAGGTCGATAAACACCATATGAATGTCTCTTTTCTTTTCTCTATACTTTTCTATTACTCTCCTTAAAAGATAGATTGCTTCCATTGTTGACTGCCCAGGCATAAATCCAAATTGATTCTCTGACACCTTTGTTATATCTCGCAATCGGCATTCTATCACTCTCTCCCACACTTTCATTATATGATACATATAAATTATCTATTGCTATTTTATTAAATTAAATATAGTTGAATATTACATGGGTGAGGTCAGTTATACTTTTTAAATTTAAAATAAAAGATCCTAAATAATTATGTTATTTGGTCATTGTTACTTGGAAAAGTATGCGTGTTTATTGTCTAAATATCAATATTATTATTAAATTATTGCTACGTTAGAAATTGAGAATTTGTTTTTGTTTACGATCTTTATTAAGAATGATTGATAAAAAAATATCAAAAAAAGGGAAAAAGTAAGATGGTGATCACCATCTTACATAGGAATCTTTGTTAACTTTTTACCTATTAAACCACGTGATCATCATTAAAAACAACATTTTCATTGGTTTAAGTCTAAATATTTCATATTTATAAGATATAATTATCATCTAAAGGTGTAGATATATTTTTCTAAGTAACATAGAAAAAGTGACCGAATCTTTATGATTCACGATTCGATTTGATTCGCGATTTGGTACAAAGCCATTTTGATTCATGATTCGAATCCCAATTTGACAACTATGACGTGTTTTCCTATTTTTTGGGCCATTTTTTATTTGTTTTTCTCTTGGTCAGTTATGGCTTCAAGTGTTATGACACGTATTTTTCTATTTTTTTGGGCCATTTTTTTTATCTGTGTTACTCTGGGTCAGTTATGGCTTCAAGTGTTACTTCCTAGCCATATACAAGAGCCTCTCTCTTACCAATGCTGTTAGTCTGAAAGCTAAAATATTTATTGTTAGGATGAGCTTTTCTTACCATAAATTTACAGTGTTTTATTGTCAATAAAATGTTCTAATTGATCAGTTTGTGTTATAGTCTGTTGCTATATCTCTGAAGTTATGTTTGCTTATGAGAATTATTATGCTAATCTTAATTTTATCAAAATGAAATTTGGTTCCAGATAATATTCAGAGCACTCCTTGTCAATTTTGTGTTTGTTATTTATTCCTGAATTGTTAATATAATCCAACAGTTCAAAGTAGGCATTTTTCTTGTCAATTTTAACATCCTCTCCAACCAGCAAGTTATACTGTGGTGTAATGGGAGCATCCATTCTACTAATGGAACTAAAATGGTTCATGGCACCATAAAATGTTGTTCACAATAGTTGCCATCTGCCAATTTTTTAACCATTCCTATTTAGTTAGGGATGTGAATCTAGCATCGCAGCAAAGCAGTTATGCAAGTTTTTGACTTTCCTAAAAAAAAAATGATTTTATGAGATGCCCCAGGACTAATGGTTCCTCAACTGCATGTATATTTCAAGTCATGAATGAATTAAGGGATGTTGAACTTCACAACTTTGTCTGGTTTCTTTTTTTTTAATATGTCATGCCTAGTTGTCTTTGATCTTTTGGCAAGTAGTATTCATGATATTGCATCACCGTCTATATCTTCCCTGCTTTGATGTATTATTTGTCCCTGTATGCGAATTCATGCCTGTGCTATACTTTCATTACAGGGAGCATTGGATGGCGGGTTGGATATCCCTCACAGTGATAAGAGATTTTCTGGTTTCTCGAAGGACTCTAAGCAGCTGGATGCTGAGGTTCACCGCAAGTATATTTATGGTGGGCATGTTGCTGCGTATATGAAGGTAACAGTTAAGATGTGAATTTATGCGTATTGTAACACTTATTTTCAGCCATGAACTTGATTTTATTGGTTGTTACGTAGATATTGATGGAAGATGAACCAGAGAAGTATCAGTCTCATTTTGTTGAGTATATCAAGAGAGGAATTGAGCCTGATGGCATTGAGGAGCTGTACAAGAAAGTTCATGCTGCCATCCGCGCTGACCCCACTCAAAAGAAGTCTGAGAAGGAGCCACCTAAGCTGCACAAGAGGTAAGCGCACCAAAAATAACTTGAAATTATGTTATCATTTTTTTGTTTTTGTTTTTAAGGGAAGTGTGGTTTAAGCTTTACTTTCCATTCCTATCATTATTATTTGCTTAAGAAGGTGCCAATTCTTTTACTTTTATTTTCATCCATTTTACTCAAGATCATTATATTAGTTCTGGCTGTGTGTTGTTGATAAATGCATTTTTTTTTAACAGCCAGATAAGTTTGGATGTTTAACTCCACTTCTAAGTTGCCAGAGATTTTAGTGGTCATTTGGTTGCATGTTTTTTTGTTTGTAGAGAACAGGAAACATGCTATTGTTTTTTTCCAAGAGAATTTGAAGTGGGAATGAGCTTTTGTTTAATGTTCATTGGTGTGATTGCACTTGTTTTGGCAACAAGTGAATACACTGCTTGTGTTACATTTTGGAGCCTAGTCTATAAAATAGTTTCAAAAAACTGAAAGCAAAAGTGTGTGCCGAATGAGTTATTGTGTTTTCAAAATTTAAAATTTTGAAAACAAAAACCCAAAACCTTTGAAATTTGGTTTGGGTATTCCGTCATTCATTCACTGGTTGAGTGCAGTAATTGCAACCGCATCTTGTTTGCTTGGATTTTTGAAAAAGTGATTCAATTTTTTGGATAGTTTAGTAAGTTCTCTATACCTCCTTGTATTGTATACCAGGTACAACTTGAAGAAGCTGACGTACGATGAAAGGAAGGCTAGCTTGATTGAACGACTGAATGCCCTCAATGCAGCAGCAGGAGCTGATGAGGAGGTGGATGATGAAGATGACGAATGAATGTAGTAGTACCTTTCCCTTTGGAGGCTTGGAATTTTGAGTCAAATATGAGATGTTCTTAGTGCACAATGATGCTGCTCTGCAGTTTAGTTTTAAACCTATTAAATTTTGTTTGTGTTTCTTTGGGTGCAATTTTGTAGCTTGTATTTTTTTATTCGAAGATGGCAATTACACTTTTTGAATGTTATGAAATGCATTATTATTTTCGTTCAAAAAAAAGATATGCATTATTATTTCTGACTGTCAATGTATTGTGCTATCTAATAGCAGCAGTGGATTTGGGAGTTTTCTAATTGCTAGTCTCCCATCTACAGTTGTATCCCTCTTGCATGCTTTGGAACAAAAACTAACATGCATAAAATTCAAAAAACATGATCAGAATGGTATGATAATGTCATTATTATAAATTATTTAATGATGTTTTGTTTTGAAATAAAATATCTGTAGTAAGTCACATTATTATGTATGAACTTTGTATATAAATTTTTTGTTTGTATAGTATTATTTACTTTGGAATTATAATGTTCATTTTAACTTGCATCACAGTTAAATTGGTAGGCTGACGAAGCATTGTAGTATCTAAAATTTCAAAATGTCATGAGTTGACAACACAAATATTAAGAGTTACATTAATGGGGAAAAAAAAAATTTCTTTCAATTATTATTATTTTTTTTTTGGGTTTTCCTAGACTTACCAAAATCTTCGTGAAATCTTTAATCTAACTCTTTCTACAAGTCTTTCATTCAAAAACGCCTAATGTACGTGTTAATATGTTAATGCATATTAAACCATGATTAGGATACGAAAAAGCACATGAAAATAGTAATTTTATATTCATCTCAAGTATATTGATGAAATATTTGAATATTCCTTTGAAGTAATAATAATACTTAATTGTGTAAATTACGTTAGCATTTATTATATTTCAGTCCTTATGTCATTTTGATCTTTATAATTCCAGTCTATAATTTGAGTTGGCGCTATTGACTTGGGATTCATGATTTTGTCTCATTGATTAAACTGTTAGTGTTTTTTGATTGATTAAAATGTAATTGGTGTTATCAATTTGATCAAAATTGAAATAAAATTTAAAATTAAGAGTCAAAATCGATTTAATTGAAATTACTGGTACTAAAATGATACAATGAGCAAAAATGCAGGGATTATAGATATAATTTTCCAAATGAATTTGAAATCATGAGATGAGAACAAAAATTTATGATTGTATAAAAAATAATAGAGATAAAACTTTATTTTAATGAAAAATATTCAAACATAAGATGTAATATCGTATGCTAGAACTAGGACTATATAGTCTATTGTGACTTCCTCTCACTCCTTTTTATCCTTATGTTCTATTTATAGAAGTTGAACATTGCTTAAAGAATTTAACTACATTAACAAGATGACTGTAGAGTCATAAATAACCACCACAATCATACTTCTTAAAATATAAAGATATTAAATTTCTCATGACACATGTAAATTTAAAATATATATACTAACACTTTTTAAGCTAAAACAAGAATAGTGAAATGTCATTAGCTATAATGTAAGAAGTTTCTAACTCTCATATTAAGCTAGTTGTGAAATCTTTGTATAAGATCAAAGGAATAGAGAAAATGTCAAGTTAATAAAGGAAATCTTATCTAGAACTAATCAATGGACCTGCACTCCCATTCACATCCAACACTCTCCGCTTATAGTTTTCTTTTGCATCACAAATTGACTTAAATAAATAACCATTTATTCATGAGAAACTAACAATTTTAGCCTTTGATTACGAACACAAAAAAATTCAACAAAATGAAGAACATGAAAAGGATCCATCAATTAAACTGAAGACTAAATAACAGATAACTTGATTCTAATCTCTTATGTGTAGAACATAGATTACAGGATTACCAGTTTATCAAAAATAATGGTGAATAATGGGAAGAAAGAGAGGAAAAAAATTAACAATAAAAAAAGAAAGAAAGAAAAACAATGTGTGTGTGTGTGAGAGAGAGAGAGAGAGAGGGAGAACAATTACCATTTTGGAAAGGACAAGAGCAACATTAATGAATATTTGTTTTGCAGTTTCAAAATACAATGGCTTCTGGGTGAGTTGGACCAATGGCATTGTTAGAATAGTAGAGAGAGAGGAAAATATTATGTGTAGTATTGAATGTATTGAATTGAATTGTATTGAATGAATTGTCCTATATAATAGAAGGCCTGTATATACAGGTTAAGAAAGAGTATCCTACTAAAACTTTAACTATGAGAAAGAATATCCTATAAAAGATTTAACTATGACAATACCTAATACGTCTAGGAAATCAATACCTAATATATGTAGGAATATATACCATATATGCATTAATATCCTCCCTCAAACTCAAGGAGGATACACATCTTGAGTTTGGAGAGAGAAATTAAAATATAAAATAAAACTAAATAAAATAGAAGGCAAATAGATTGTAAAATCCGAACGGGAGTGCAAGGGTGTTTGAAATAGATTAGAAGCCGGAACTAATGTTGAGAGACAGTTTATGGTTGTGTCGGACTGTTGTAGGAGCTGGCTGGAATTTGAAATAGATCAAAAGTTGGAACTAATGCCGGGAGACAGTTTATGGTCGTGTCGGACCGTTGTAGGAGCTGGTTGGAATCAATGTCGGGACAGTTTAAAGGTGTTATGCTGGACTAATTTAGGAGTTAACCAAAATCAATGTCGGGACAGTTTAAAGGGGTCATGCCGGACCGATGTAGAGAACGGATGTTGAACCAGTAAGCGTGGTACACACATAACTTATGATGTGGTACTGAATGATGATGGCTGTAAGAATGTATTTATTGATTCAGTTTAAAGGTGTTATGTTGGACTAATTTAGGAGTTAACCAAAATCAATGTCGGGACAGTTTAAAGGGGTCATGCCGGACCGATGTAGAGAACGGATGTTGAACCAGTAAGCGTGGTACACACATAACTTATGATGTGGTACTGAATGATGATGGCAACAGATGACTGAGTGCGCTAGGGGGCGGCTTGGATGGTGCGCAAGGAACGACTTAGGTTATGCACCAGAGAGGGTGGCTAGGTGGTGCGCCAAGGGAGACGACTTAGGGATGTGCGCCAAGAGAGTGGCTTTGAGTGTGCGCCAAGGAGGCGACTTGGGTGGTTTGCATGGTGTATAACCATGCTCACTATGATATAGGTATAATACCTCCCTCAAACTCAAATAGGTTTGGAAAACGAAACCAATTTGAGGTTGAAGGAGAGGGGAAGATAGAGTGGAGAAAAAAAAAAATGCATGATGAGTAAAAATAAAAAATAAAAAATAAAAAATATATATGATAGAGATACTTTGGGTAGGAATAAACCAGCGGATGGAGGAAGAGATCACCACAAAGCGATACTAAAAGGAAAACATGACAACGGAATAGGTTGAGGTCTGACGGGCGGCCAAGGCGAGGCTGCCGCCCGCCGGTGAAGCGAAATTACTAGGTTCTTAACCTAGTTCTGATACCATGTTAGAATAATAGAGAGAGAGGAAATTATGTATTGTATTGAATTGAATTGTATTGAATGAATTGTCCTATATAATAGAAGGTCTGTATATATAGGTTAAGAAAGAGTATCTTACTAGAAATCTAACTATGAGAAAGAATATCCTATAAGAGATTTAACTATGACAATACCTAATATATCTAGGAATATATATCATATATACATTAACAGGCATAATTACTTTACAAATAACTTCATAGTTTAGAGCCATTTAGCTCATTATTCAACTACTCAAACAATCATTAACAATATATTTAAATGTGAATTTTGTTAATAGAAAAACAAAAAATCCACTATATAAGAGTGTTTGTTTTTCATTAACCATGCAACAAAGAGAGAACAACTGAAAATACATGATGAAATGAATACGTATTTATATTTATCTGGCATAGGTTACATGCTGTGGTTAAATTCAACAACCAACAAAACAATAAAAAGGGAGAAATAACATTATTGTATGTTACAGTAAATATGCGAAATGAATTTCACAATACAACCACCAAAAGATCGAATGAACCTAAATTTGACAAGCACTCCTTCTGTATCGACTACTGTTTAATAAACTACAAGAGTTGCCAAAAAACCCAAGAATGGATTTTCACAATACAATCAATAGGACTCCACTTGACCTGATCTCACTAAAAATTTTAGAAATGTAGAATGTGTAGACGAAAGAGAAACTAGTCGTTAAATGATGAGTTCACTCCGTTGATGGCCATAGCTAGAGCCTGGAAAATTAATTTGATCAGAAAAATATGCATTTAGCTCTGATATATCAATAAAGGAATATTGTCAGAGCATATTCACTACAATTTATACTTACCATCTTTGTCCAAATTCAAAGATTATGCGTAGCCAGCAAGGTTGTGCATGGATTCCCCACCTAGGAATATGATGGGTTTCTTCTTGCAAGCTACTCTACCAGATCAAATCAAAGAAAGTGCGATCTGCAAAAGAAATATGATTTGGCCTAATTTAGTTTTCCTAGACTACAAAAAGGAAAAAAAATCACAACAAAAGCAAATAAAACAACATATTCAATAATTTCTAACATAGGATATCAGATGTTAAAAGGGCTATGGCTCCCTGAAATGTAAGACAAACTCCGAGACACTGCCTAAAGACAAATTGATTTATAAATTTTTACAAACTTTGATACTTCTTGAAGTATCCTAGACCAAGCACTTTATACTAAGAACCCAAGAGTAAGCTTCACATAATTCAAAATTCAAGGCATCAAGTATGCAATTTTCATATGTTTTGTTGGCTCCCAATTGAAATGAGAAAGATCAGAATAATTTGGTAACACAAATATTAGATTCTGAAACAGATTGAATTAAAAAAGAAAATAGGGGTTGGGGGGGGGGGGGGGGGTCCAGGGGGGGGAGGTGAACTTAATACCTTAGAAACAAACATTAAACCTCTTGCCTATATTGTAATGGAAATTTCATCTTTTAATATTCTCTTAGCCTGATTTCTTGTAATTTGGATGGGATGCCAGCTATGAACATCAGGTTTTCAGCCTGTTTTTGTCAAAAGAAGATAAAAAGATCCAATGTGTGTGCGAGCAAGCGCGGGTATGAGAGAGAGAGAGAGAGAGAGTACCACCTGCAAATCTTGAGCTGCACTTGATTTTTGTTATGTTGGTTTTAGCTTTGCTAGCTTTCCTTTTCAACTCGGATGCACTTAGCCCTACCAATAGCGTACGCTAATCCAGCTGATGCGAGAGTTCCAGCTCAATCACCTATTTCCAGCAAGCTACCTTCATTCAATTCAAATATCAGATAGTGATTGCGCCAATTATTTACATTAAAGAAAGATTAGCGCTTGCTAATCATAGGAGTGTCATACTTAATCAATTAGGGATAGAGGGAGAATACCACCTGCAAATCTTCTGCTGCACTTGGTCTTTGTGACCCAAAACTAGAGACAAAATTAGTCTTTTGGCTTCACATGTAAAATAATCTGTACATGAATACACGTTTCCAGATGGGTTAGAGATGACTTGATGGGTTATTTAACTCTGCACATGAACCAAACTTGATTTGGAGATTTTTTTTTTAAAAAAAAGGCAACAAAATGCTATATGTAATTTGTTAGACACTCTAAGTAACAGATCATATATTGAAGTGTCTCAAAACAAAGAAATTGATATGCAGAAAATGGGAATTGAACTGAATTAAAATTGAATTGAACTGAATCATACGGTCTGAACTCCAAACAAGAACTACATACATGATTCAATCCTCCAAGTGGAACGTTGTTGCAACTTCATCTTTAGATTACTTGCCTCCTGCTCAAACTACCTCTGCACATGCAACAAATCAATATGACTGACCAAAGTGCTATAATTGGAAATGTCAACTCAACTCAGGTGACTTTTGCATACTCTAGGTAGCATGAAACACTATGGCTTTTAGAATTAGAGATATACAAAATAGCATAGAAAACCTGTGTTTAAGGACATGTCATCTGAAGCAATGCTCTCAGGAACCCACAGTTAGGGCACCATGTCATTGTGAGTTTTAGATCATTTAGCTTCAGCAACTAAAATGAGATTATTTGAAATTTGAACATCAGAAAAGCGTTGGTTCAAAATTGAAACATGCCATTTCATCAAATCCCATAGATGATTTTTTAGTAGGGATACAAATTCCTCAAATTTCAGGTACATTCTAATCATACCTAGAGATGATTTTTTAGCATGGATACAAAATCCTCAAATTTTAGGAACATTCTAATCAACCTATATAGATCATTTTTAGGAGGGATACAAAATCCATAAAATTAAATTTCGATTAACACTGAAAATTGGCGTTTTCAATTGGTTGCAGATAAACATAATAATTCCCATGTTCTGAGAACAAAGAAGACTAATATTTAGGAAGTCATTTTCCTCTTCCCATTTTCTGAAAATTAGCTCATTCAATTCACATGTCTTTGTTAATAACAACATAAAACCAACATTTGTATCATGAAGATGGATCCAATGCAACACTCAAGAGCTATATGTAATTTGTTAGATGCTCCAAGTAACAGATCAGAGAAGAAACTAATATATATAGCCAATTTGCAGAAAAGGGCAGGCATTAACAGATGAGTTAAAATTGAATCATACGGTCTGAACTCCAAACAAGAACTACATACATGATTCAATCATCCAAGTGGACTGTTGTTGCAACTTCATCTTAGATTAATTGGCTCCTGCTCAAACCACCTCTGCTGCACATGCAACAAATCAATATGACTGACCTAAGTGTTATAATTGGAACTGTCAACTCAACTCGGGTGACTTTTGCATACTCTAGGTTACATCAAGCACTGTGGCTTTTAGAATTAGTGATATACAAAATAGCATGGAAAACTTGTGTTTAAGGACATGTTATCTGAAGCTATATGCAGCTTTTAGTGGCTCAATTGGACATAGCTCAGTTAAAAGCAATGTTCCCAGGAACCCACATTTGGGGCACCATCTCATTGTGAATTTTAGATCATTTAGCTTCATAAGCTGAAATGAGATTCTTTGAAATTGGAACATCACAAAAGCATTGGTTCAAAATGGAAACGTGTCATTTCATGAAATCCCATGGATGATTTTTAGTATGGATACAAAATTCTCAAATTTTAGGAATGTTCTAATCAAACCTATATATGTTTTTTTAGGATGGATACAAAATCCATAAAATTAAATTTTGACTAAAAGTAAAAGTTGGCCTTTTGAATTGGTTGCAAATAAAATAATAATTCCCATGTTCTGATTACAAAGTTGACTAAAATATAAATAGGAAGTCATTTTTCACATCCCATTTTCTGAAAATTAGCTCATTCAATTTACATGTCTTTGTTAATAACAACATAAAATTTTTGTTAGCTATGGAAAATCAAAGTTTGACTCAAAGCTAAGCAGGAAAGCATTTTGAAGACTGGTTGATCATTGAAACTATTTAGTTTTTCACCTGACGAGAATCTGCAACTGACAAGTGGAACTATTAAGCTTGAAAATTATAAAATAAATAACTCAAATGACTAATAACATTCAAGGAACAACCTACAAAGTTTGCATAAGATTGCTCCGATTCTTCAAAATCATGTGCATCAACAATTACCTCTTCTCCCTACATTGATTATTAATGGACTGCACTTATTGATTGTACAGCTGGCAGGCAATAAATCCAACATTTACACTTGAAGAAAAACTGGAACTCCTCCTTGTAGAAGAGACCTTGTAACATAGCAATTTGTGGGAGCACAGAGAGATTAATAAACCTGGAAATATATATATATGTATATATATAAGTTTCAAAGAAAAAACAAATGTTATAAATACATACTCATGATTTGGCAAAGTGTACATTGGAGACCAGATAAAAATGTATAATAATACATTTAAAAAAACTAGATTAAAATTGATGGACTTTAGAGAGAGAGAGAGAGAGAAATTACATAATTGGCAGTAGACTATTTCATGCTTCATCTTGAAGAAGAAGATTCATCATTTGTAGAGGAAGATTCATCATTCATGAAATGCCTCGTGACCTGAAACCCAAAAAAAGGTAGTGAGATAAACGAAACGAGCAAACAACATTGGGAAGGTGGGGGATAGTAAAGGGGTGAGAAGAGAAGAGAAGAAATCATGAATATGGATAACATTTGGAGAAATATATAAGTTACCTTTAAATCTACAAGACATTGATGGATGGAATATGGGCAATCTTGTGACATTCTTGGTCGCTTTCCCTTGCGCATCCAAGTGGATTGTTGTTGCAACTTCATCGTTAGATTAATTGCCTCTTGCTCAAACTACCTCTGCATGTGTAACAAATCAATATGACTGACCAAAATGTTATAATTGGAAATGGAAACTCAACTCAATTGACTTTTGCATACTCTAGGTAGCATGAAGCACTATGGCTTTTAGAATTAGTGATATACAAAATAGCATGGAAAACTCGTGTTTAAGGACATGTCATCATCTCCAATCTTTAAAAAAAAAAAAGGACATGTCATCTGAAGCAATGCTCTCAGGAATCCACAGTTAGGGCACCATGCCATTATGAGTTTGAGATCATTTAGCTTCAGTAACTAAAATGAGATTATTTGAAATTTGAACATCATAAAAGCCTTGGTTCAAATTGAAAAATGTCATTTCATCAAATCCCATCGATATTTTTTAGGAGGGGATACAAAATCCTCAAATTCGGGAACATTCTAATCAAACCTATAGATGATTTTTTAGGAGGGATACAATATCCTCAAATTTCAAAAACATTCTAATCAAACCTATAGATCATTTTTTAGGAGGAATACAAAATCCATAAAAATTCAATTTTGATTAACACTGAAAATTGGCCTTTTCAATTGGTTGCAGATAAATGTAATAATTCCCATGTTTTGAAAACAAAGTTGACTAATATAATTAGGAAGTCATTTTTCTCTTCCCATTTTCTGAAAATTAGCTCATTCAATTAATGTCTTTGTTAATAACAACATCAAACCAACATTTGTGTCATGAAGATGGATGCAATGCAACACGCAAGAGAATTGGCATGCCTTCAGAATTGTTTTTTTTGTTGTTGTTAGGTATAGAAAATCAATATTTGACTCAAAGCTATGCAGGAAAGAATTTTGAAGACTGGTTGATTGTAGAAATTAGTTTTTCACTTGACGAGAATCTTTAACTGACAAAGTTGAACTATTAAGCTTGAAAATTGCAAAAACAACTTACAAAGTTTGTAGAACATTTCTCTGAATCATGTGCACCAAAGATTACCTCTTCTCCCTACATCGATTATTGATGGCCTGCTCTAATTGACTTTACCGTTGGCAGGCAATAAATCCAGCAGTTACACATGAAGAAAAACCGGAACGCCTTGTACAAGACCCTGTAAAATAGCAATTTGTGTTAGCACAGAGATATTAATAAATCTGGAAATATAAAAGGAAAACATATATATATATATATATATGTATATATATAAGTTTCAAATAAGAAAAATGTTATAAACTATTACATACTCATGGCTTAGTAAATCGTATACTAGAGCCGAGATAAAAATGTATAATACGTATAAAAAAATAAAATAAAAATAAAAGCTAGATTAAAACTGATAGACTTTAGAGAGAGACAAAGAGGGGTTTTAATTAATTAGTTATGACATCATTTTCAGGAGTTAATTAATTATTTGTTGGTTGGAGACAGAGAGGACTTACACAATTGGCAGTAAACTTTTTTATGCATCATCTTGAAGAAGAAGATTAGTCATCTGCCGATGAAACCATTAACCTGAAACCCAAAAAGGGGTCAGTGATGAGATAAAGGAAACGAGCAAACAGCATTGGGAAGAGAAGAGAAGAAATCATGAATATGGATAACAATTGGAGAAATATATAAGTTACCTTTAAATATACAAGATGGATGGAATATGGGCAATCTTGTGGTATTCTTGGCCGCTTTTTGTTGCGCATCTTTTCTTTAGAAGGCGACAATACGCAATTTTCAAAGATTGTAAATTGGTAAGGCGTTGCATTGCTTCCAGGGTGGGAAGATTCATCAGAGTCTTGCATCTGTAAAGTTTCAAAGAATGAAGAGATGAAAGGTTACCCAGCCACTCCGGCAGAGCTTCCAGTCCATCAAAGCGATGAAGTGACAAGTCTCTCAAGGTAGTGAGGTGCTGAAGCTGATCAGGCAGATACTTGACCCTCTCCCCCCCATATAGAGTTAGAGACACCAAGGAGACGAAGGGGTAGTGTTTGGGGTTTGGGTGATATTTGGTATCATCATCACCAACCTCCTCCTCTGCAGTAGCAGTAGCGGAAGCGGAAGTGGAAGCAGATGCAGATGCAGCACTTACGGTGGTGGAAGGCCAGGGGAAATATTCGAGCTCCTCTGAGAAGTAACCTATCTTTAATGTTTGAAGGCTGGTCAGGCAAAATAGCCTCGCCTCCCCCCAACCCGCCAATCTTGGACATCCTAAAATGGACAAGCTCTGAAGGGATGGGAGGCTGCATAATTCACCTGGATCAGCAATTATTAAATTCGGACACCAGAATATGTCTAATGTTACAAGGGTTTGTTGTAACAGCCCCTTTGGTAAACATGTCAATTCTTCGCAACGTGAAATCTGAAGCCGCTGAAGAGATGTTAAGCCGCTGCAATTGGATGCTTCTTCTTCTTCTTCTGTTACTTTAATTATAGACTCTAGATTTGGGCATCGATTTATCGTTAAGTCTTCAAGAGACGAAAGGTTTTGTAAGTTAATTGTCAAATAACATAGCTGACAGATAAATCATCTTCAGTGTTCACTTACTGTCAGCTTTCTTAGGGTTTTGCCGCTTTTTTCCAGCAAATCTACCAGTAAAACACCAATCTTCGGTTTCGAACCCCTAGATACCTCTATTCTCAAGTAAGGGCGATGCGTATGATCGATATCAGCGTACATCAATTCCTGTAAGGATAACAAGTGACCTGGAATTGTAGTCAACTCAGGGCAATTTCTAATAAATAGACACTCAAGCAGAGGAAAGAACATCGTGGTGTCCGTCGACGATGATGATACCCCAAGCCCACACCATTCTTCAATGTTCGGCATATATTCTAGACAAAGTTTTCTTAGTGCTGGAAATACAACGGCCATAGCTTTTGTTGTTGCTGTTGTTGCTGCCCCACTATAGCTACCAGTGATGATGCCATCGTTACATTGATCATGATTAACAACACTGTGACAACCATAAAATTCAGGACCAATACGTTTCAGATTACTTAATCCAGACATTTTGATAACCTCAAGATGCGGAAGGTGTCCGAGTGGTGGGACTTGTTCACATCTCGAACACTTGGATAATTCTATCTCAACCAAATTTTGAAGCAACTGCGCATCTCTACCACTCATCATCCATGAAGCAAAACTTTTTCCTTCAAAATTCTGGAGTTTTAAACCCTTAAGGTTCCCGTGAGGTTTAAGTCCATCCAACACGTCTTCGTGGTTAATGCTAGTAGTGTCACCTGCTGTTGAACGATTGCCCACCCTATCCCAGTGAAATCCCAACTTATGAATTTTTGGTTTTCCTAATATTTTTGCCTTTTCTGCTTCTTCCCTGCTTTTCACCTGTTGGAGATTGTAAATCATTAATTTACCTCTTAGTTTGCTTAAGCTACCTAGCTCTTCAATTTTTTGGCCCTCATCCTCACCCACAACAAAGAATGGTAATGTCTGCAAAGAAGTCAACTTCCCTATCATCATTGGCATCAATTTTCTGTGGTTTTCATCATCACCAATACAAAAATGTCTCAAGCTCACCAACTCACAGAACTTTTTAGGAAGCTTTTCCAAATGACCTTGAGAGAGTCTCAGTGTTTGCAAATTATAGAGCATAGTCAAAAAATTTGGCAGTGTTCCACAATATGACCTTGAGAGATGTAGATATTTCAAATGTATGAACTTACACATGGAATATGGAAACTCTTTCACACGGTAATATTCCAAACTCAAGGCACGTATAAACTTGACATCTGCAATGTTTTTAGGAAGATTGCCAGTTGAAAATAGTGTCCTCAGTTTTCCAACATTTTCTTTTGGAATTTCAAAACTTGTTTTTCCCATTAAATCCAATGATAGATGTTGAACCTCGGGATAGTCAATCATCTGGCCAGCAATCAAAGTCAAAGGCAAACAGTTACCCTTTGAGACATCTAGTGCTAGATCATGCACAAGATCGTGCATTTTGCAACTGGTAATATTTTTGTACTCATCCAATTTTACATCTTGAAACAAAGAATTGTGCAACAAAATATTAAAATAATCATTACCAACATCTTCCATTTCCAAATTGCTTCCCCAAGAAGGCTGGAGATATCCTTGAGCCATCCAAAGTTGAATCAACTCATCCTTTCGAATGTTGAAATTTTTTGGAAAAATAGAACAATACGCAAAACAGTGTTTCAAATACGGTGATGGTAAGTGATCAAAACTTAACCTTAATATCGGTTGAATTCCTTCTTTGATTTCAGTTGACCATATTTCACTGTTTTTGATCAACCCCCATTCATGAAAGTGCTTCTTAGAGTACATTAAACCTCCTAGTGACTTTATTGCCAATGGTACACCCTTACACTCTTCCATCATTTTTCTACCAATAGCCACCAAATCTGGGGTCTCTGTTGGTCCTCCATTTGCAAATGCACTTTTCCGAAACATGGTCCAACTTTCATTTTTGGATAGTTTGCTCAAATGATGAGTGAGAGATGGAGATGTCCTCATGGTAGATACCACTTGCACACTCCTGGTTGTAGCTATAATTTTGCTTCCCCTGGAGCCACCTATCCCTAGCAAAGAATTTCTCATGCACTCCCATTTGTCTAGATTTTCATTCCAAACATTGTCTAGTACAAGCAAATATTTTTTTCCATTTAGTTTTGCTGCAAGGTTTCTCACTATTCCTTCAATATTATCTCTTTCACTCTTATCTCCGGTAAGAGATTGCGCCATCTGATTCAATAGCTTTGGAACTATGAAATCATCAGAGACACAAATCCACATTCTTTGGTTACGACCAAAATGATTCACCACCTTCTCATTGTTGTAAACTAGCTGAGCAAGGGTTGTCTTGCCCATCCCACCCATTCCTACAATGGCAATGACAGGTAAATCATCTACAGTGTTGTCAGAGCTAAGTAACATGTCTATCACTGTTGACACATCACCATCCCTTCCCACAACTTGTTTGTCATCTACAAAGGGGACAGTCGGCCTGAAATTGACTTCTCTAGGTTCAGCACTAGTACTAGCAGCATTTAAGATCTGATCAGCTGGTTTAAGACCTATGTCATTTGCTTCTTTGCAAATCAAGTCTAACATTGAATTGATATCCTTGACCTTATGAGCCATCTTGAGATGAAATGCCAATGGATTTGAGAGAGAGAAGAAATTGCGTACCTTGTTTCTCATTCGGTTTTGCACCTCCAACTTTCTTCGAAGAGTTTCGTACGCAAACTCATCAAGCACATTCTCAGCATCACCGGTTACACGCTTGATATTCTTCAGCCACTCGCACATAGTTGCTGATGTTAGTCTCCGGTTCTCAGCATCGCTTAACAAAGCTCGAATGAGTGTTAACCTTCTGCAGAGGGTTTTGAGATCTTTCTTGAAAGCCCACGCCAGTTTGATCTGTTCAGTTGCTAGTGGAATCAAGGGATTCAGGATCACCTGAGCAGCAGAGATGAGAACAGGGACAGTCATCTTTGATCTTTCTTCTTCCTTACAATTCCGAAAGAAAACTTGGATTGGATTGGAAACAATTACTAGAGAATACAAAACAGAATTTTGTGTAGTGAAGCTGGAAGGTGTTGGGAAGCTTCAAGCTATACCATTTCTCAAAATAATTCAAAGATGAGAACGTGGGGGGTGATGGGTGCTATCTATGTTTCTCTATATGATATTCACAAGTCTTTGAATATTGGGAAAAATAAACGGGACAGGGCTGTTTGGGGTGGTAACTTACCGGGGTAAGACAGGTAACTGGTTAACGGTCTGAAATTTCAAATTGACAAAAAAAAAAAACCACTAAATTATAGATTATAATATCAATTTTTATTAATATAAAAAGAACAAAATAATATTAAAAATATATAAAAATAAAGATATTTTCTTCAGGCCGGCCTAACACTTGATGGAGCCTAAAGCGAAATATTGTTGAGAGGCTTTTAAATTTAATATATAAATATAAATTCTTGTAATATTATTAATTTTTATTTTTTTGCGAGGGTTATAAAATGAAAATAAATGAAAATTGCTATAAATTATCTGGTAATTAGAGCTTACACATAAATAAAGTCCAGGGAGAAAACAATTTGAAGACTAATAAACCTCAACCTATTCTAAGTTGGTGGAATTTTTTTATATATTAAAAGTCAGTCTTTTTATAATTATAGATGAGACATTTTTTAAAATATGTGTAATTTGTTATTTTAAATTATAGACGAGATATTTTTATAAACATTTTATTTTTTATTTGTGCATTGTTGTTAGTATGACCCTTATTTAAATTTAAAATAACATTTGTAAAAAATTAAAGATGCTCTTAACTTAGCTGTCTCCACATCATCAATTAAAAAACCTTTCAAATTTTTATGAAGGCAAAACACCCCATGTGCTCTTATAATTAATTAATCACATACGCATCCAGTAAAAAAGACCCATCATCATTAACAAAAAAATGAAAAATGAAAAATAAAATATAAATTATAATATAAATTTCTATTAATATTAAAAGTATAAAATAACATTAAAAATATATAAAATAACAAGATCTTTTCAGGCAGTAACAACTTGACGGGCCCAAAAATTTGTTGGGAGACTTTAAACTTAATATATAGAATCATAAATTCGTGTAATATTAATTAATTTAGAAAGTTTTTTTTTTTTTTTTTTTAAAAAATTTTTGGGAGTTATAAAAAGGAAAAGAAATGAAAATTGCTATTATAGTTGAAAGTTTAAGAAGAAAATAAATTGAAGACTAATAAATTTCAATCTATTCTAAGTTGGTGGAATTCTTTTATATATTAAAGTAATTTTATTTTTAATAATGTGAACCTTTACTTTTCATTTATAAACTAAATTGACAGAGGCCTTTTCTAAATTTGTGGGACTTGTATTATGCTTGTGGGTAGAATTATTTATTTATTTATTGGCAAAAGGAAAGATGCGAAGGGGAAAGCAGCCAAGAATGTGAAGCTGGAAGGTGTTGGGAAGCTGGAAGGCGTCGGGAAGCTCCAAAGTTGCATATGATGTGCAACCTTTAATGGGTTGCACACCCAAATAGCTCCCAATTAAGAAATAAGAACACATGGGGGTGATGGGTGCTATCAATGTTTCTCTATATTATATCGGTAGCGTTACATGCCTGAATTAACATACATTAGTGTATCATTTAGTGTTACGTCATTATTATTGACTCAATTTATTATACAAATTATAAATATTTAAAATCTTTAAAATTATATCACAACATCTATTAGTATAGTAGTTAATATATTAATTGATACATATAACATTATTCATATTATATTCACAAGTCTTTGATTATTGGGAAAAAATAAACGGGACAGGGTTATTTGGAGTAGTAATTTACAGGGATAAGGCAAATCAATGGTAAATGGTCTGAATTTCAAATTGACAAAAAAGAAAAAAAAAAAGAAAAAAAAAATTCAGTTTAAATTGTTATTTTTTTCAGCTCCCCCTATTCAATTCATCAGCTACTCTCCCCTCCCCTCTTCACTCATTTTCAATAGAGCATTTCCAATCTGTCAGCTTTTAGCTTTGATAAAAAAGTGTTAACAAATTTAAGTCAAATATTCATCAAATTAAAAAAGAGTTATTTTTTCATCAAATTAAAATTTTATAAAAAATCATTCAAAAATTTTAAATATGATAAAACTTTTAAAAAATTAGAATTAAATATGATTTGTTCCCCATCAAATTTGATAAAAAGAAAATTTTGGAATAAGAGATGATTTTTTATTTAAAAAATTGATAAAAATTAAATAAAATAATTCATATAAAACCAAACATTATTTTAAAGGCAAATGCTAAAAGTGTCTCCAACGCTTCATCTTTTATGTCATCAAATTTAAATTTGATGAAAGAAGTCCAATTTTGATACTCCAATGTTGACATCAAACCAATATCAAATTGAGAATTTCTTAAACTTTTCATCAAATTGAGAATACCTAGAGCCTTTCATCAAATTACAATAAATAGATGTTGGGACAGACACCGGACGACTAGCCAATTGTCCTCCCAGACAACCTCTTCCTTCCTTACACTTCCAGTAAATTTACACTAACCGATTGGCTGGCCAAACATTTGCCTGGTCATCCTCCTGATCGACTGGTGGTTTGATGAAAAATGAAAAAAATATCAGATGAAACTTTTATTCAAATTTTTGGGAGAAAAAAAAAAGAGAGTAAATATTGGAGATGCTTTAACAAATGCTCCATAAGCATTGTTTAATATTGGAAAATATGTAAAAAGTGTCTTGAAAACATATAAAAATATTAAAAAGTGTATTGATTTCAATAAAAATGCGTTAATGTTAGTAAAAAGTGTGTTGTGTTTTGCTAATATTTTGTTTTTTAATTGTGCCTTAGGAGCACATGTTAGCAAAATCCTTATTTAAATTTAAAATAACATTAAAGGTGATTATTGGATATTCCGGAACACAGCCATGTGGTGTCTATGATATTACGATTGGTGGAAAAGATAGGGCTTTGTGTTAAGTGATCGAAGAATATGAGAGAACATGACGATTGATTATATGGACATGTGGTACTCTAAAAATACCTAATAATTTTCTTAACATTAGTGAAAAATTGAAGATGCTCTTGACTTAGCTGTCTCCATATCATCATTGTTTAAAAAACCTTTCAAATTCTTGTGAAGGCAAAATGAAAAATTATTGGGGGTTCTTGGAGCGCCACGTATTCTTACTTCACCAATCACCATACACTATGCCTGTTCATACTTCTCATTCACCCAATAAAAAATAATAGATCTCAACTTCTCTACCAATCACAATATCATGAAACATGTAGTCTTAGTCCAAGAGAAGCCAATAACTACTTAGGCAAAATCCTCCCTGTATTCTTACAATCAATTAATCATTGTTGGCTTTTTTGGCTTTCGAAAGTTATTCTTGTAATTGTGAGCGTGCCAGCAAGGATCAATCAGTCCTTACAGAAATTTAATTGCCAACCAATTATCAGACGATTGTGTTTTAGTTCTTTCAGCCTCAATGAAGAGGACTTTTACTGGTGGCTTTGCTTAGGAGGAATAAACTGACAATGATTAAATGAAGAACAATTGCAGTATTTCATTAAGTAAAACGAAAGACTTACAATGATCCAATTCAGCCTCATAGAGGTTTACAGTAACAATCTACTTGAAACTACTCCTATGAACGAAGTGCAGTGCAGGAATTTTAAAGTACAGCAATGTAAAGAACAGGAAATGTAAAGACTGGAAAAGAAATAAAGTAGAATAAAACTGGTTTTATGGATCTGAGTCTGGGGCTTTTTCTGGGGCCTTCTCTACTATTTATACTTCTCAAGGAGAACCATGAACTGCACTTCTAACCGTCGAACTGCTCCTCCATGATCGCTGATCATGTTGCCTTATAGTTAGCTCCACTATGCCAATACCTGCAGTTAGGCTTCCCTCCTGATTTTTGAATTTAAATGTGAGTAATCGTTGAAGCCACATCACTTTGCATCTTTTTGCTGATCCAGTACTACGCAGATCTTATGAAAAACCAATATTAACTACCACGTGTACGATCACGATCGAAGGTTTGAGTTGTCTTCTCGTATTACCCTCAACCTGCCACATGTTGAAGTGTAATTGGCTTATACAAAATATGTAGCCAACAATCACACACGCATCCAGAAGAAAAGACCCACTAACATCATCGAGTGGTGAGTGTGTACAATACCAAAAAAAATTAAAAATAAAGTATAGATTATAATATTAATTTCTATTAATATAAAAAGTACAGAACAATATTATAAACATATATAAAAGAAGATGTTTATTTCACGGTTGGCCTAATACTTAACGGACCTAAAGCAAAATATTGTTGGGAGGCTCTTAAATCTAAGTACATAAATATAAGAAAATGTTTGGTGGCTCAAATTTGTGTGGTCCGAATGGTTCGAATATGCCAAAACGACATCGTTTTACACTCAAAACGACGTCATTTTGGGTGTTTCGAGCCATTTGAGCCATGAATTCGTTTTGGGTGCTTCGAGCCATTCGAGTCATGAATTTTCGGGTCACCTAGCATTGTTGTAAATATAAATTTATATAATAATATTAATTTTGATTTTTTATAAAAATTTTGTGAGAATTATAAAAAGAAAAGAAATGAAAATTGCTATAAGTTATCCGGTAATTAGACCTTTCACATTTAAAACAAAGTTTATGGAGAAAATAAATTGAAGACTAATAAACTTCAACCATTCTAAGTTGGTGGAATTTTTTTATATATATTACAGTTATTCTTTTTACAATTATAAGACAAGATATTTTTTAAAATATGTGTAATTTGTTATTTTAAATTATAGACTAGATATTTTTGTAAATATTTTGTCTGTTATTTATGTTTTAGGGGCACTTGTTAATAAGACCCTTATTTAAATTTAGGGTCAGATTTCTCTCTAGTTTGAGATTGGACTGGAGCGTTT